CGGCAAGCAAATATTAGCTTTTGCCTCCCATGTCAGCAGCTGAAATCGAGAGTTGAATAACGGGAAGAGATTTTTGGATTTGACGGCTTTAAATGTTTTTAGGCCTTATATTTGGTGTGGCTAAATATTTAATCAGGGTAAGACCGAAAGCTGAATGGTTCAATATGAATTAATTATTATAAAACGACCTTCAAAAGCCAAATAACTCATTTAGTTAAATGAACTTTTTTAAATGTTTTCCTGCTTCACCTTTATTTGTTAAGAACTTGAGAGGCCACACAACAAACCCATTTGCTCTTTGTAGGATTTCAGATAGAAAAGTCAGTAAAATTTATTTTGGAATTATGTTAATTTACTTTCAACCAATTTCTAGCAACAGGCCCTTCCACTAGTAATTCTCAATAAGAGCAGGCCATAACCATGATTTAGCTATAAATTAGTTCACAAAATGTCCCATGTCCGAATATCAACAGTCCAAATAGCAAATATGGACACCCGGGACGAATTAAACAGGAAATTACCATTTATATTGCGTTAGGTTCACACCAAGAGCGAAATGCTGAATGGCCAGCTATTTTGCTGATTGCCCCAGAGTCGGACAATGCTATTGACCAATTTTCCACATGTCGGCCTATTAAATCCGTTAAATGTTCACTAATTGGCCAAGCGAGTGAGATTGTATACGCTGTTAATCACCCTAAATCTCCTCAAGCAAATCATATGTTTATTATCATGTGCTCAATTGGCTTTGGCATTTATTAGTCACGAAAAACAGTCATAAATAATTCAAAAGTAATTCCAGACTTACATTTTTTTACGAAGTTAATAAATTTTACCATTAAAAGTACCGAAAAATGTGTACGTGTTTGCGGAAAATCCCTTTTTACGGTGGCAAAATACCCAAAGGAATCGCTGCATTAGCCGAATTAAAGAACTCAACAATAAAATAACGCAATATCCGCAGGGGATGGCATAATGTTTGCGTTTTGATTTATGGACTGAAATCCGATGCCACAATTCGCTGACGCCTCTTAAATGTGATATTTCTAAAGCTTGTTTTTTTGTTTTCCCAAAGAGATAAAAACCTCAAGCCTTGCATAGAATGGGTTGAGTTCTAAAAGGATTTCTGTTCACAATCCAGATAAAATTTCTTGCCAGCATAAAAAGATGTTTCCCAATATTGCACAAAATTTTAATTAGTTAAGTGCTGTTACGTTTCTTACAGTCTCGAAAACATTTCTGTAATCTAATCAACGTCGTTCCATAGAGATTTGAGAGTGCCAAAGTTAAACCAAACAATACCATATTTTTTGTTGACCTTTCAATCAAACTTTTTGTCGAACAGAATGTTCTTTGATGTGGCCGTCAGGAGCAAAAACTTTCTGCCAACGCATCACTAGAATGTTTGTCATTTCTCCCGTCAGGTGTCTGTCATTTGGACAGCTAAAAGGGTAAGCTAGTTTTCGAATAGAGGTTTTAACCAAAATACTGAAGGATATTTTTAGAGCAAAATAGCTATGGCTTAAGATGAGTCTTAAATTTAGTTAGTTTAAAATGATCAAGCTATTTGTTTATTATTATTTCAATTATTTACGGTTTCCATTAAAATGATTGTGATTTTATATAAAGAAATGAAGACAACTTCCCTTAGTATCAGTATATCTGACTTTATTTGAAATCAATACGAGCAGCATCTTCTTCATCTAATATTTTATTTATTACAAACCTTTCACACAGACTCCAAACTCAACAAGGCCCTCCTTCAACTTTGACTTTTTCTGCCAAAGCTCTCTTCGCCTTTTTATGGCTCCGTTTTTTATTGCTAACCATTACTTGAATATTCCGGTAGCCTGGTTAGTGCCAGCTCCGATTTCACTACGATTCTCTGTCAAGGAAATCGATAAGGAGCCAGGAGAAGGCAGTGAGTGGCTTTTGTTTCACCCAGCCAAGGACATTTCTGTGCCGGGCTCCGAGTTCAATGCTCGCCATTAACCGCTGCCAGTCTCAGGCGGCATGGCATTAATGTTTTTCAATTATTTTTATTGGCCGATCATAAATTATAACGCCCTTCTGGCCTAGGCTGCCATATTTTTCGAGCACTTACCGCCTTGACGTGTATTTGGCGAAATGGCTTTTCTTGAAACGCTCAGTAAACTTGCCAAAATTCCGTAGGCATTGACACGAACATATGTTAAGCCCATTTCCCAGGATATCAGAAAAAACTTTCTACGAAAGTGCGCAAAGTTGCACTTCCTTCAATCTCATTTATTATAATAACACGCAACTTGGACTGTGATTTGGTTGTGGAGAAACAGTTTGGAAAATGTTACCCATTTAGTCACTGTGACAAATTGAAAAGTCTTTCTTTATTCATTATTTCTTAATGCAATTAGGCGCTACATACCGCAATTCGTTTACAAAAGTTTCGTTTTGCTTCTTGTGCGCATTTAATTATAGCACCAGGAACCCCTTTGGTTTTTTTTCAAGAACTTCTCCTGTTGCAAGTGCAATTTCCGTGCTAAATATTTGCACACAAAAGCAGGAAACTTTTATCCAACTTTTCCTTTCCTTTTGGTGGTTTTTTCTACACAAAGTTTTTCCTTTTCAGCAAGAGAAACATTTTTAAAGTAACTACTAAGCCGGAACGTTGTATTCCCCTTTCATTAAGCCTTTGACTGGTCAGTTCCTCAGACCTCACTGGCTGCATTTAATTTTTTTGCTGCCAACTTTGCTCAGTTTCCGTTGCATTCTTCGAGGGCTTCGAGCACTTTTGAAAATAAGCCGTGCATAAAGTTAAAGAAAATGTTGCAAAACTAAGTTTTAAAACTATTACAGAAATGATTAAGCCGATGGATTATTCTTTAAAAATTATTTAAAGTGAGTGTAAAGAAGTTTTTTGATTTCAATGTGTTCGAAATTGATTACTATCTTTTATAATCAATGATGATTTACAAGATGATATTACAGGATGCTATTTAATAAATTATTCTAATTCGGATTTTTCGATTTTGCAGGTGTATACCATTTTATTTGCTGTACACTACTAAACCGTCCTGTGGACAAAGAAGCATGCCCTTAAAAAAAATAAAATGATGCATGGGAAATGTTGAGAATTGTAAAAACCTCATACCATAGACACAGACAGACATAGATGCCCCTGATTGCACAGTTCATGGAGCATGGCATTCTATAACCCATTCAGTCGTCTTCTCACGTCATAAGATTCCTAATTAGATCAGCCGAGGGAGATAGTGCAAAAACTCAGTGAGCTGTTTTGCATGCAACCCTCTTCATTTAAGTGCAACGTTTTCCAGTCTTATCGTTAAGTTGTTACACTTGAGTGACATCCGTTTTACACTCTTTCTACAGCTTCAGCTGAAAAACATATAAGAAACATTGGGTTGAAATCACCCCCATGAACAACTTTAAATGGACCCAGGTAAAAAAATACAAATCAAGAATTAATACGCTTAAGCTGAAATTTTTCCTTTTTTTTACCTTACTGATTTTCCAATTACGAATTCGTTTTCGCATTTTCATTCAGAGACCAATTTCATTATTGACCCCATTATTTTCGAAATCAATTAGCTCACAAACTGCAGGGAACCGAGGGCGTAATTGGACTGTTTTGTGGCTGACAGCGTATATTGGGAATCCGAGCTCTAAAATGTCGCATTGTTGACCTATGACCACAGGCACGGGCATCCGCGTAATTTGAATAGAGAGGCGAATGGCAGAGGCAGACATCCTGGTCAGCACCCGCAGAAATATTTCACCGCAAGTACGCCAAATCTGGCCCACAGCAGCGTTTGATAATTCCAGCTTGTTAAAGAGGACTTAAATATTTAAGTAATGCCAATCAGTCGATACAAAGGTAAAGAGGAATTTAAATGTTTACAGCCCTTTCAATATTTATTTTCCAAGTATTTAAGCAGCAAATACTTTTCGTTCAAAGGCAAAGGAATATTTCAGTAAAGAAGAAAAATCTTCACAAAATAGTAGCTGATAGAATTCATAAGGCATTTGGTACTAACTAAAGTAACATACTGAATACTGAATTTATTTTATAAAAATTGAGGTTCTATAGATATATTTTCTGAGCTTTAAAATGGAATATTACTATTTGTCTAATTTCAAAACCTCTGGGTCTTAAGGGGCAATTATATGTTCTTTCTCCCGCCAACACTCTTTTAATATTTAATTTAGCTTGTTCCACATACGCCACGTGGCCATGGCCTCACATACAAGTAGTGGCCAGACAAAGTGGGTTAACTTTATGGCCGGGTTAAGGAACCTCTAAACGCAACGGTTGCTAGGCGGCAGCTTTGTCTCTGCTTCCAAGGGAGGAGGTCAGCAATTACCCGGCGCGCGGTCATTAAAAACAATCCTCAAAGGAGCACGCAAAGCCCTCGGTATTAGCCTTCAGCTATGTACCAAGTGAACTCAAATATGCCATTGCGTGACACTGCCTATTTTGGTAACAGAAGAAGTTAAATTTAGGGTTAGTCAGCAGCTAAGATATTCAACCATTTTTGGAAGTACAACGTTTAAGTTTTTGTGTTTTCATTGCCCTACGAAAGTGGTAACGTAAAGCTTAAAATACGTAATACACGCCACCTATTACGTTTCTTTTGAAGAGGCGCCACTGTTTACTTGATATGTAAAAAAGATAATGTACTGTACATTGATGTAAATAAAATAAATATTCATATTAATATTTTTATATTAATATTCTTAACAAAAATGAGTTTGAAACAAAAATAACTATCATATTTTTACGTTTTGTATAGCATTTTATTATTTGAATGTTCTGCAAAAGCTTTTGCAAGAAACAAAAGCTGGCTGCTGGGAAAATTCAAAAGCAAAAAGTATTTAAAAGCTTAAGGCTTGGCGCAATATTTCAAATTCTAGCATTTGTCACATGTTATGTTATTTAAAAAAAAAAGGTTTGACAAACAAAGTTTTATAAATTTGTATTTAATTTAATTTAAGTCCAAAGATTTAAACAACAACTTAAATTATAAAAATTTTAAATTTCAGTGTGTTGAATAAATATTCATATCTTACACCAATCACAACTCATAATACAAAACATTAAAAGAAACCTCATTTACAAGCCAAAGAATATTTGAAAGTTAGACTAACTATCACATGAGAAACAAAACCTAACCTAATGTCTTGACAACTAAACAATAAATAACTAGTTTAAGGATAGATTTAGGAGTCCAAAGGAGTGGTCCTCATTCGCCAAGCATCCTTGATCATATCGGCCGCCTTCTCGGCGACCATGATCACAATGGCATTCGTGTGGCCAGCTGGGACATTGGGCAGCACCGAGGCATCCACAACCCGTAGTCCCCGGAAGCCGTGCACCCTGAGTTGGGCATCCACCACGGAAGATTTATCGGTGGCGGGGCCCATCTTGCATGTGCCCGATTGGTGCTGCAAACTGGATCCATATCTTCGCAGACAGCACCTCCAGTATTCCTCGCTGGCAAACTTAAGGTGCTGACATCCCGGAAAAGGACGGTCATGGAAACGAGTGCCCATCTTCACCATGGGCTTGGATCGGGCCAGTTGGAGGATCTGGAAAACGGAAACAAAAAAATAAATTAAAAGAATAATCTAGCTCTATGATTAAAATGTTAAAAATTTAAGCAATATTTAATGTCTTCGGCAGTTTGTAAATTAGTGTGGTTTAATTATTTTTAATTCGAATACGTTTTGTAAAATGCAAAAAATAGATTAAGGAATATCAATAATTTAGGTTTTTTAAACAAAAATATGTTTACCATTTCGATTCCTTCGATCATGGCCCTCACATCGTCCGGATGCTGCATGAAATTGGGTTCCATGCGCGGCCAGTGGAAAGGATTGCGGCTGCGCAACGATATGCGTCCCCGACTTTTGGGTCGCAGAAGCACCGGTACCAGACCGAAAGTCTCTTTGCTCTGCAGATCTCCGAACATCGTGTCATAGAACTCATCGGTTATGCCCAGTAAATTTCGCATGGTGCCAAACCGATCGCCACTCAAAGATCCTGCTCCTAAGACCAGTTCCATGTCAGGATAGTCCTTGGCTGTGGGCAAAAGCAATTAGAGAAATTAACAAGAGTCCAAAACTTTACTTAACTTATGATTCAGTCTTACCAAAACTGGAGCTTGGAGTCCTCACAAAAGCGAATGCCTCTGCTCCACCGGGAATAGTGTATGGTCCCTGTCCCGCAAATAAATACCGAAAAATGTCCGAAGGATTCAGTAGACGGGCATCGTTGACCGTCGAATCGTTGACCACGAACACCAGACCATTGAGTGTTATGTGATCCTGAAGATTGTAGCCCACTGGTAGGTCCTGTACCACTGTGATATTGTGCTCCCTCAGGTGATCCGCCGGACCCACTCCGGATAGCATGAGGATTTGGGGACTGGCGATGGTTCCAGCTGACAGAATTACCTCCTTTCTGGCTCGAACCACAAACCGTTGGCGTTGCTTCACGAACTCCACCCCAGTGGCAGTTTTCGTGATAGGATCGATGATCAGCCGGGTGACCCAGCTCTTCATGGAGATGTGCAGATTTTTGCGATGTACTACAGGCTGTATGAAGGCCTTGCTGGTGCTGCACCGCCTGCCATTCCGAATGGTGGCCTGAGACCTCGCAAAACCCATCAATTGCTCTCCATTCGGATCCGTGATGTCGTAGCCCATTTCCCTGCCGGATTTTAGGAAGGCCTTCAGCAGCTGAGACCTATAGTCCGTATACTGCACATCCAGCGGTCCGTTGCGACCATGATAGGATGATTTATACAGCTCGGGAATGCCAATCCTCTCGGATTTTCGGAAATATGGCAGCACTTCGTCATAGGACCAACCTGAGTTATTCGCCGCTGCCCATTCATCGTAATCCCTGCGATGACCGCGAGTGTATAGCATAAAGTTGATCAAACTCGTGCCACCCACGCCACGCCCTTTGGGCCAATTGCAAACGCCGCCCTTTAGTCCTTGACATGCGTTTTCCGTGGGCTCTGCCTTGTAGCCCCAGTTATAACGTGTCATTTGAGTGAGAGCTGCAGTCAGCGGGACATCACTGATAAAGGTTTCCTGATCGCCGGCCTCCAGGAGCAAAACACTGGCGGAGGTAATCTCACTCAGCCGATTGGCCAGTACACAACCCGAACTGCCAGCTCCCACGATGATGAAGTCATATTCCGGCAGAAACCGTGTGGTGTCCGGAAGCCGGTTGTTCAGCAACGAAGTCTCGAAATCACGGGCCAAATCTACCAGAAGTTGGCACCTCGTGGCTTGAAAGGAACACAGACACAAAATCAAGACACAAAATCTCATCTTGACAGTATCTTAATCTGCAGCAAAATTTAAACAACTTTGTTAATTAAAAGTATTTAAGTATAACTAAAAGGTTTGAGTAATTAACATATATATTATATTCGGAATGGGTTTACTGATTTATTTTTATTTGTAAAATTTTAAGTGAGTTTGGTATGCTGTAAAAATGTCTATTGACCTACAAACTTGTTTTTTGCCAAGTTTATGTTTAAACATATTTATGCCCATTGTTCATGTAGCAAATTATTTTCATTTTAATGTTGACGTTTATGGTATTTTTCACAAAAATAGCCTCGCAGTGGCGTTAAGAACTTTAGACAACATTATTATTTAATATTCAAAAGCCATGCATATTGAGAAAAAGAAAGCCTGAGTCAGAACTCTTGATTAGCAGCTGCTCGCAAATTGCAGCGGCCTTGAGAACGATTTCACTTTTCCTCCCTTTTTATGTTCTGAGCGATATTCACGACCGGTCGACATCGGTTCGTCCCGAACGCGTTTTGAGCTCAAGTTCAACTGGTTTTGGGGTTACAAGACAAAGAAAAACCAAAAGTGCCAATAAAAATAATGACTTTGCAAAAGGAGCGATATTAAGTTAATGCTAGCCAACCGGTTCGTGGTCAAAACAAAACGAAATTGAAGAAGAAACCAAATCAAAGCAAACATTGCAAATAAAATCAAAATAAATCGATCGCGGAGACGCAGCAAATATTTAAGCGTTGACCCATAAACCGCACGCGGATGTTCATAAAACAACAACAATATTGCCAAAACTCAAAATAAAAAAATCGAAATTAAATTACTTTAAGTTGTGGGCGCCAAATGTTTTTTTATGCAAATTATCTCAATTTGGGGTTTTTTCGAAGCGCCGACAAAAATTGCACAAATGTTAATAAATCATTTCAATTAACCTCAATAAGGCCGGCAAGTAGTTCAATGAGTCGATACAGTAGCCAAGTCGAAAACTCATTCAACGAACCGTGATATACATGTACACTCCATAAGAAATTGCCGGACTTTGTCTTCACCCAGTTGAGTTCTATATCTTGGCCTTGGCCTTCTGGTTGGATCCACTCGATCGGTTATGGCGATTACAGAACTGCTTTGAGCTTCAAATGGTTTCACTTTTAGGCCCGCCTTTCGAAGGGCGTTGGATTCATTAAGGTTCTGGTTATCAACTCTATACCAATCAATGCGGGTCATTAAACCGGGCTTAATTGGCTGAGACGTGCCGCCTGAAGATCTCGATAGCTATAACATGAAATTTGTTAAATCTGATTTTAAACTTAATGGCTTATGAGTAACCGAGTGGCCTATTAATAGGGATTAACATATTTCGGTTGCGTTACTTAAAAAATATCTTTGAACAAATCATCAGGCTCATAAGATGATAATAAATTGCATATAAAACAGAAATTGGCTAGCAAAGATTTGTTTTGCTTTAAAATTAGTTTTCTTAGATAATTGTTTTAGAACCAAAAATTTTATATTAAGAAAAATTATTATCATAATAAGTACAAATAGTAAACTAAGCAAAAATTTCTTAATAAATTTTGTTATAATCACTAAAAGTTTAAAAAGGAAACACTTTATAATTTATTGAATTGACAAAATAAAATTTTGAAATTAGAAAAACTGAAAACTTTGAATGCATAACAATTTAAAACTATAACCAATAAAATTGTAAAAGGTTAAACACGAGTAAGTTTTCAATTCCTAGGGTGAACAATCTATTCCACTTTAAGTCAACACAGATGCATTTCATTAGACAAAAAACCACAGAACTGCATTTTTTGTCAGTTAACAACTTGACTAGTTCCTATTAGGAGCAACTTGCTAAATGTATATCGAGTTTACGTCAGCATACCAGATTTGAACACACACGCGCACTGTGAAACACAAATTGTCATAAGTTCTCTTGTGAAATTCTAAACACGTTTGCAAATGCAAAATCCATGCCAAACGATTGCGGATAGAATGCACTTACGAAATAATTTGTACAAAAATAGGCCAAACGTATATAGATAGATACTCCAGATAGATTCACCGATTTATCTTACGAGTGCGCATGCGCGCCCGCTGGTGTCCGACGCTTAAATGAAACGGCGCTGCCCGGCCTGCAACGTTGAAGCCTATGCGAGATAAAATACAAAAAAAAGTTAAAAAACTCAGTTAACAACACAGGTAGCTGCCGGGCTAGTCGGTCAGCGCGCTACGTTCAAGCGATCACGCCAAAAGATACGAGATACATTTGTGCGCCGCTCCACGATGGACCATCTTTTTTCAAGTTCATCGGGTGAACTTGCAAATTTTTGCCCATTTTACGAGCTATTTTTGGGGAATTTGCTGCATGTTGATTAGCACCCCGCGGATCGCTGTAAAGCCTAATCGAACTGAACTAGACGATGAATGATCAGCGATTTGTCGCCGACTTGTTAGCGCGGAGGTGCGAAAGATCAAGTAGGTGAAGTAAAGAGCTTCCGCTGTTTACTTTTTTCGATAATTGAATTTTTATTGGAACTACTTTAATGGTGCGAGTCGAGTGGTGAAGTTCAATGCCAAGATCGGAGTGACGCTTTTCCGGCTTCGCAGATGACCTTAACAGATCGTTTGGGTTACATGAGCCCGCTGATCATTAAGATGGCATTTACCGGATTACAAACGCTTGACCCAGACTCATTTGCATACGAAAAACAGCCAAATCGTATCTTTAATGGGCAACTGAACAAATTTGGGCTCTAGCTCGCCCGATTTCGCAGATACTTTCACAATACACATTTTTTCTTTAAATTTTGGTGATTTCGGTGAATCGCCAAAACAAACTGACCTTCAGTACAAGACATGTTTGTTGACTATATATTTCTTTTTATAGCCACAATTTCAATAAATCGGTTTGAATGCATTTTGCAGTGCTTTTATTTGTTATTTGCCCAGCTTTTATGCATATTCATTCGAAATGACTTGGCACAAGTAAAATAGCCCAGCTCATTCACTTCTCGGAGTTCGAGCATATATACTCCACAAAGTGCTCAACCCACTCAATTCGAGACCTGGTAATTGATTAAAGATCAAAAGTGGGCTACAATGCGCCTTGCTAATTAAATTTTAACTGCTAAACAAAGGCCAAAAATGGATAATCGGCTGGCTGGGTTTTCCAAAAAGTGATAGCTGCCCCAAAGCGGAAAATGAGACTGCAAAATTTATGCATTTAAATAAAATTATGTTTCGAAAAAAATTTGTTAAACTTAAATCAAACAAAGATATGTTAATATACTCAAAGTATTTCTCCCCAAAATCAAAATACCTAAATTAATATTTGTTAAAGTTCAAAAATTTCACGGGACTAATATTAAAAATTCTATTGGAAACTTTATTAAGCCAGGATAATAAAAGAAATAAAAAAAACTACAAACACTGATAAAATTTTATAACTTTATGTATTACGCAAAGAACCTTCTCGTAATTAGCACAGAGTAACCTATTAGATGTTTGCCAACGAATTTACATTCCACATACTCGAATTGCAAATTAGCAAGCTTAAATAGTTTCCAATGTCATCGTTTAGTGTAACGAACAGTCAAACAAACATAACAAATGCATCTTTCCCAGAAAATATGATGTCAGTGCGAATGTTATTTATAGGCCACTTCAAGTGACTCAATCCTAATAATATAAATTTTAATCGTTTGGACAAACACTCCCCTATGCACTTCATAAACGACCTTGCCAAGGTAACCAGCTCAGCGATCTGATTTGATACACAAAGGTTGGCGACTTAACGCTCGACAGTCAAAGACAACAAACGGTGGCTGCTCGAACGGATATCAAATAATACAAATTACCAAATACGAATCCAAATCCAAATCACGGCATCAAAACAAACACAAATCAACGGTTTCTGCACCGTTTGCCGGGCGGGTAATAAAACCTCTTCAGTGTCAAGTGGGCCGGGTCGCTCAGTACTTGTGCCCCATAAATCACGTGTCTCAAACAGATGAAGACGTGACCAGAGTGCGTAAAAACCCAATAAAACATTATAATGCCTGTAAACTAACAATAATAATAGCCCCGCCGATGAAGCACCCACAATGCCATAAACGCAGCACGATGATTGACCAACGTCACAATCGTTTTGGTCAAATTATGATTACGCATCTGACGGCTGAAATTGAGCCGAGTGCTTCTTTGAGTGTCAAGTGTGTGATCGAAAATAAAAAAAATAAAATCAAAGAGGAGGCTAAGCCGACGTGCAGACAAGGGTACACCACCATCATAATCAAAGCCCAAACGCCGAATGACACTCAAAAGGTCTAAGCCAGGCTAAGGAGGCCCGACTTAAATGAATGAACTTGAAACAATTGCTGAATAATTTTACTTCGGCATTGCGTGGACATGCATTACAGCCGGTCATCAGTGGGCTGTTCCGAAAATCTTTCATTTCAATAACAAAGTGTGTCACATTATAAAAAACAAAGATATGGAAATACAAAAAAATATTAAAATACAAGCAAATACAATTTATAAATGAATGTAAAACAAATAAAGTATTCTGGATCTTTAAGCTAAAGTTTTTATACATTTTATTACGTAATATTCGTGTATATATCTACTTGTTGACCATTTTTTTACCTACCATTTGGCTAGCGTTTTTCAGAACATCCATGCTATCGTGACCGATTTGATGACAGACTCCATGTCAAATCTGTGCAGGCCGAGACGGTCTTTGAACGCTTTGATTGGGTGTTATTGACACGACCAAAGTACTCGTACCCACTTAGCCATGACTTGTTTGCTTTATTTCGTGCTGCGTAGAAGTCAAGAAACCAAAAAGATGGAATAAGTAAACACTCAGTATGTTTAATTTGTCACTAATTTTATTGATGAAAACTTCTGTGGTGAGTTCGATGATTTGATATCCTTTTAGATAAGTAAGGGGGAAATACCAGCTTAGTTGAGTTGACTAAAAGCTTTAGAATTGAAAAGATTTGCTTTTGAATTAGATTATGTTTTGGTTTTGCTTTGCTTTGATTTGCCTTGCTTCTTTGCATTTTTATATTTTCCATATACTTGGGCATATTAATTGAAATATATCGGTTAATGTACTAATACCGAAAATCAATTACGTATTTTATTGTTAAAGCCATTTGCTCTGCATGTCAATCAAGTTTCACTATAACTATTTGTTGTATAAAGCAAAAAGCGTCATAGGGTTTCATTGATTATGCCTGGTGTTTTTTAGATATAAGTAGTAGGTAGATTTATTATAAATTAATTCTTGAGTGTAGAAACTTTAAAACATAGAATGTACTTAACGACTACAGATACACTTTTGGACTTTTTGGATTCATATAAATATTTTCTTTTTGTAAACGTTAGCATAGCGATTTCTGGTTTATGTTGTATATTTAAATTGTTAAACTTTGATGCATTTTTTGTAAAGTTAATCAGTACGAATTCTTCAAAACTAAGCCCTCAAATATGGGTTCCCTGGACGTGAGAAAAAGAAGGTTAATATTTTTGTATAGAGGACCTAATGATTTTTGGTAAAATTTTTTTTGCATGTAAATGAAAAAAATATAGTCGCTAAACTATGTTTCTCCTAGGAATATTGTTTCATATATAAACACCTTCTATTTTTTACATACGTTTTACATGTTTAAGCCAAATTTACACGTGTAGCCCATAAGTAGGCAATATTATTTTTGCGCTCCTTTAAATGTTGCAGCAACATGTTGCCAAGCTTTTAATCTTTCAAATTTCGATAAAATAAAATGTTCATGGAATTGCAATCAGTATTCAAATGTAAACACTCCCTCTCACGTGCAGAAATGGGGCTTTAGTTTTTCAGTTTTTTTCCAGATCAAAAAGAAAACCGCCTGCCTAGTGGCGCAACAGCACGTTGCTGACCTTGGCCTCGGCCTTGGGCTTGATTTTTTCGCGGAACTGGCGGTTTTCCGGATTGGCCAGCACTGAGGCAATAAACTCCGAGGTCTCCAGCTGCAGTTGCGCCAGTCGCTTCTGCAGCAGCTTGTTACGCTGCACCAGTTTGATGGTCTTGATGGCAATGGACAGCAGGCCATCGCTGCTCTGATGGTACAGATGATGCTCCTTTATCGCATCCTGGCTGTACTCGTACCCGCTGTCACCGTCCTCGTCCTCCATTCGAATTGGAACCCCCTCACAGTGTTTGGCCGCCGCCGATCGGTTGTGTTTGCTACTATATCGACTGGCCGTTGTCGGCTGTAATACTGTTTTGATGTTGGTGTCGCTGCTGGAATGTGGTTGCTGTTGCTGCTGGAACTGAATCCTGGCTGCCGAGTAGCTGTCCTCATCTATCTGCATCCGCTGCTCGGAGTCCATATCCATCTCCACCTCCGTTTCCACACCGCTGCTGGTGTCCGTCGAGGAGAATGCCACACGGGCCATGGTGTGCGGTATCCTTCGCTGCAACCTCACCGGGCGACGGCGACTTGATGAGTTCATAGAACCCTTGGCCACTGCAATGAAGAAGTTAACAAAAAGTTCGTCAACAAAGGAACAGTTGAAAGGTCTTCCAGTGATTCAGTATTATTTATACTAATGTTAAAAAATTTTAAAATGATTGTTTAATAATGATGCAAACGCTATTTTATAATCATAAAACGAGTTTTTATTAATTAAGCATAAAATATAATAATCTTATATTTTTTAAAGCAATCCATTTTTACAGAGTTTAATTAAATGTTAAGTAAGAAATGTTTTTTCTCTAAATTCAAAACTCAAATAATTTTTACATTTCTATAACTAAAAACATACATAAAATCTTAGTTAAGTTTTGTAAGTTTTAATATTTTTGTACTTCAAATAATTGAATTAAAATGAACGAAAACTCATATGTTTATCATATGTTGTGCGCATTAGAAAGTAATCAAAGTAAATAAATAACCAACTATAACATTTTCCACAAAACTATATTTCTTAATTATCACAAACAAAATACACGATTCAAACACTATTTTTCACTTAAAATATGCTGTCTAAAATTGAACTCATTTCCTGGTAATCACAGCATTTCAACACACCCATGGTGCCGTTGAGTGGGCAAGTGCAACGATTATCAGTCGGTTGTCAACCAAAGGCCAATTTATTACAATGTCTCGGTATCTGTGTGGGTTTCTAGTATCTAAATGTGGACATCGCGTGTGGACAAAAAACGTGACCAGCACCAGGGTTAAGCGTTCCGGCGACGACATTGCGTTTCGCGTCGAATCGCAGTCGCAACGCTCATTTCCAGCCATCAGCTCTTGGAAGGCACGAAAAGCAAAATACTGCCAAAAAAGTGCACTGATTTATATCAGAACAAAAATAGGTTTCTTAGTTTTTCTTTTAATTAAAATATTTTACGAGAAATTTAAAGTTTTGCATTCTTTAAACTCCATTATTTAATACTCACAAAAACAAATTCCATTTAATATAACATTTTCAGAGAAATTTTAATTTTTGCATTCTTTAAAGTGTCATACTTTATGAATTTCATTCAATTAGAATTAATTGTTTTTTTTATATAAAATTATATACTCTTAAATTTGTAAAAAACACAACCACGATATATGCTTTAAATCCGTAATATTATTCAAAGTTTTTAAATCCATCAATGATAAATAAGACATGCTAAAATAGACTTAATTTTTTTTTTAGTTACTTTTTTGATCAAATAGTTAAAGCTCTGTAATGGTCAATTTTCTAAAACATGTGTTTACTAGTCCACTATCGACTTATCCGAGTGCATCGGCGTTTCCGCAACTTTGTCTATGGTCAGGGTCATGACGCGCCGCCTCGAAGCTAACGCTGCACATTCACATGGCACTGCAGGGTGTGCTTGGATCGTGACGAAACCGAATGCACTCTGTTTTCAACACCCGTTGGGCAAATAGAGCTTACGTTGCACCACTGCCCCAGTGCAGCGAAACGTGAGAGTAACTCAGCGAAGGCGAAGACGACGACCACCTAATGACGGATACAGTAGAAAGTCATTGGGAAAGGTGCTGGAATATACGGAATACAGTGTTTTTAATTAATTTCCAAACAAATACGTATGCTCTTTGCGTTGGAATTTGATTTAAAAGGCGTCCTGCTGTTACTGTTACATTTCTTGTGTTTAGTTTTTTAAGTGTCAAGAATACGCTTCGATTTTATTATTAGCAAGACAATGATTCGCTACGAATATTATATTATATTGGTAATTCCCTCAAAGTGAATTCTAGTTCATCTCGTAGGCTTCAAACTGTTTTTGCGAATCCGATAACGTATCGGATAGGCTTGCTGATTGGGCAATAGACATTAGAAATTCGGTTGATCTTTCTAGTTGCTTCATGCGCGGTGTGCCGAGTAGAGCCAAATTTCGTTTCAGTACTTTGTGCAGCTCACCCATATAAACAACAAGGTCATTCACCTCCTCGCTGAAGTCAAATATTTCCCGCCTCAGTCGATTTTTGTTAAGATAGGCATCATTTTTTTTGAAGAATCGGGCGACATGTACCTTGGCTGTTTTGATTGCTTCCTGCTTGGACAACTTGGCATTGATCAGGAATGTGTTCCTTTCCTTGCATACCTTCAACTCCTTGCCCACATCATGGGTCCAAGCGATGTGGTCAAGAGTCTTGGAGCTCAGGTCCTGCAGTTGGAGTTCCATGCTGAGAAATTTATCACGCATTTGTGATATGATTTCGCGGAACTGACGATATCTACAGATCACTTCATCTACTTCCAATTGAATGCAATGGTGGGCTTGGTGAAGGCTCCTTGCTTCCAGTAATTCCTTGCCGCTCAGCGGAAGAAACTTTTCCTCTTTGATTGCAGATTTTGCCTGTGTTTCAGAGTCCTTTTCCTGAGTTTCCAACTCCTTGCAATTCATTTGGCACTTGGTCAGGGCCATCTTCGGTTCTTCTTCAGGCTGACCTTCACTGACCTTTTCGCTACTCTCCTTACACTGACGCCTTTTGATGGCTAGCTGCATAAGTTCAATCTGTCGGATCAGACAGTCAATATCGTGAACAACCTGATTTGCATCGTCTGTAAGCACTTCGGAGGTCTCATAAGACTCCTTCTCCTCCTCTTCGACATATGAGAAGCTGACCTCATCGTCAACATCAAAGATCTCCAGATCGCTTATTACGCATTTCAAAGTGCGTGTTATTGGATCTATCTCGTTTAATCGCATCTTGGCGCAATCGGGCATTCCATTTACACTTTTTACTTCGTCTGACTCCATTACTGAACAAAAAATGTGTATCTTTTTTGTGCTTTAGTTTTGTTGTATATATGTTTAAGGGTAATTGAACTTACTGGGATTAAAAGGCAAGCTACAAAACAAATAAGCTAAACACAATATATAAAGTTATTTAGGCATTACAAAGAGAAAGATTCTTTCTTTGGCTTCCCTTAGATTAATACATAAGTGTGTTTTCATTTAACAAATTAAAGTAAACGACCCGATAGGCCAAAAAACCGTGTCTGTACCCCGTGTTCTTGAAATGTGCATTCAGCTCCATAAACACACGTAATTTTTTACCTGACTGTTTCCTCTGCCTATGTTATTATGCAACTCATATACACATGTTCTTGCAGCTTTCTTGTCGTTGTCAAACCAAGGCACATGCATTTGTATGCGCTTTTCTAATTCAGTGATGGTTGTTCGGACTTGGAATTGCATTTCACAGTTGCTGCACAGAGGCAAAAATGCCATTCTTAAAAATATCTAGAGAAAACTAGTTAACGACTTCTAAAAATAAGCAGCAAGTATGAAAGTTTTGTTTTTTATATAACTTATTTCCTATTAACATTTGTAATTTTCTTTTGAGTTGGCGTAAGTTACAATGTAAAAAAAATCTGCTATATAATTACTTTTGATATTATCTTTTCAAGATGCACGCCACTATGCATTGGTAAGACATTGTAATTCCTTAAGATTAGTGACTTCTATAGTATAAATTGACTAAAAATAAAAAGTATCTAACTTTTTTGCAAGTGCTCTTGAGAATTAATGCAATATTTTTCGCTGTGCTGAATGTGGCCTCGTCATCGCCGTGCGATTGCACGTACCTCGCTTCGTTCTCGCTGAATTAGTCACCGGTGATGCTTGAAAACAAAATTTTAAATACCTTAAATAATGGCAAAGTGCGAGGGCATTGGCCAACACTCCAACCCCCTGACCACGCCAAATTGTACCAACGCCTCCCAAGAGAAAGCAGTCAAGAGGGGGGAAATCGTAAGGTGGCTCGCACGTGGCCTCGTCACACCCATTTTTATTTTAGACGTGTGTCGGTGTGTTTCTTTCGGTTTATTTTTATGTATTGCTGAAAATTAGCAGGCAGCAACGAGCACAAATAAAAAGGCTACAACGAAAGCAACAACAAGCGCTGCTTTCAATGAATTCACATTGAAAATGGCACCAATAAAGTCAGCAGCAAAATGAAAAAAAAGCAAACTTGGCTAAAAGCAAGCGGAGCAAATGTGCAAAACATGTAAATAAAGCCCCGGCAAAAGTGGCACAGCAGCAAAAACAACGCTGGAGGCTATGACACACACTTATGTGGAAGCCCCTTGGCCGACGCCCCTGGTTTCGTGTGCTTGTGAAATATTTCTTGGAAAATATCTAGGTAAATGTTCGTACGATTTCACTTGGCTAATGAGTTGTCATTGAACATCATTTGTTGGGGCTGTAAGAAGTTTTCTGGTAAGTTGATGTTGGAGAATCTCAATAATTTTAACGCCTCTTAAACGCTTCTTCTTAAATTGAGTGTTAGGTTTTTAACGAACGTTCTTATTAGGAGAATATTTCGAATTGTTATTGTAAAGCTGGCCTTTGACCAATTTTATAGTACTCCTGGAGAATTTATTCCCTTTGAACCAAGTCTTTACTTAACTTGTACCCCTACCTACATTTTTCAATTCTTTGACAATAAAATCCATGTCTTAATAACTAAATTGCACAAAATATTAATTTAAAAAAATTTTAAATTTATTAAACATAAAGAGTGGCTTGAATATTAACTGCACCAATTGTGCACTATTTGTGAGAAGTAAAAGTCTTGAGAATACTTCCTATTTAAAGGCATTGTAATATAGTTCAAATCGCAAGAGCGTGCGCCACTCTTCAAACAATAATGAGCCTTATTCTTTATTTACTTTAAAAATAAACAACCACTTGAAGGAGGAATTTTCAATATCAGATACTTGATATCTTGACTTCCCTGCACGATTGCCCCTCGCACCCTTTTTCCACGTAGCCCACATCCAGTTCTATTTTAGGCGGCAGTCATGCGGCATTAGATCGCTTATATAAATGTGTCAGCCAGATTTACGAACCGAGTCCGTCTTACCCAACAGCCAAGCAGGCGGAAGAGCAGCTGGAGCCAATTGCTGACGCAAATTGTTGTGGCATAACCCCAAACTCGCGTGCCTTTCATGGAGCAACATCGGTGGCATTATTAGCAGCAATAAAACACCGGAGGCCAACACGTGAAGAACCCGATGCGAGCCCATCCACCAGGGCACGTGCATTTGGGTTCCCCAGCCGAACCACACATATGTGTGTTACGCCAATGAGGAAGTGGCAAACGAGGACAGTGTTCAGGGCCCAGAACACAGAGTGCAGAGTACAGATCCCAGAGGTGGGTGGCCGAGTTTACATAAATTAATTAAACATGAGCAAGTAACGTGAGCAAAGCAATTGGAAACTGGGCGAATGGCAAACGTACGCAGTAACAGTCACAAGAGCAACAAATCAGCAGGGGATACTGACAATAAGGGGTAACAAAAATAAAAATGAGACAAGGCGGAGATTGCAATAAATATGTACGGCATTGTTACGTATACGCCGCGTATGCCCACCACATTTCGCTGGCACTGAGCCAAATGCCTTAGGCAAAGATTCTGGATTAGATGTAAGTAGGGTTTAAAAAAAAAAAAATTTCAATCTGTTAAACTTAAAAAATTACGATTTTAATCAATTTTGAACCTAAATGAGATGGAAACGATCAATAATTTTTTTAAATTTGTGAAAGTAAAATTAAATGTAAATGAGTTTGTATAATATAAACTGCTCTTAATTCTCTAACTGCATTTTACTGCCATTCCCTGTGTTGACTCACCATAGTTGAGCACCGAGCTGGCTTGTGTGGCAGTAGTTGCAGATGTGGATCTGGCGGATGTCGAAGAGGATTCTGTGGCTGCGGCTGAGGATGAAATGACGGCTGTGGCCACGCCATGATGTCGCCTCGTTTCCGTCAGCTGTTTTTTCTCCGAACATATGGTGGGCGCCATTGAAGCGTCTTTCGGTTTTGGCAGCGTTTATTCAGACTGAAAGCAAACGTGAATAAAAGCACTAATTAATTAGCTGCCACATTGATTAATTGATTAAACGTTTCAGTGCATAATTAAGCCGGCCAGCTGCACGCGCCGGTCAGTAAACGAAATAAAATGAAATAATCAAATTCAAATAAAAGGAATTCTTTCGAGTTCGTTTAACTTAAATCCATTTTACTGTGATTCGCCTCTCTCAGCGACTCTTATTCAGAATACTGATAACATTAGGTGAGCATTGGGCAAAGGCAGGATATGGTGGGGTCGTAAATTTTGTTTATTTCGCGATAAGAATTGGGACCGGAAGTTTGCTAGCATAATACTATTCACTTTATACAGTGATTGCGGTGGAATTCCAAGAAATATGGGCGGTAAACTCCTGAAGGCAATCTGGGAAAAAGCATTTCAAGAATTTATTTAGAATGAAAGCTTATAAAATTTAAAAATCACCACTAAATCAACTTTGAACGCAAACCATATTATACAAATGTTAAAATTTTGACAGCTATCACAAATTCTAAATTTATAAGATTTTAAGATACCGACAAGAGTAAAAGATATTAAAATGTTATTGTTATATTTTATACAAAATTATTTGGAAGACTCTTAGATTCTTACAAATTTTAACTAAAATTTCGATGGAAGTTTTCCTGATTTCTTAGACGACTTTCCATTAATCCACTCCAATTATTTATTCAATCTCCGCCAAATCCATTTCACCAATAAACTTTATCCCCCAAATCAGTTCGACTAGTCCATTAAAACTACATAAATCACTCGGGCCAAACAATAAACTCTTAGGCTGCAGAGGTCCAAAGTTCAATGTGCCAGCCATTTAAATCCGATTCGCACCGAATCTCCGAGTTGACATTTTAGAGCAGCCTTGGCTGACATCAAAACGGAATTTAAGATGACGCAGCCGCCAACCGAAACTCATTAGGCTCCTGGCTAACGAGCATCCATCGGCAAAGGTAAAGAAACTTAAAGTGAGTATTGCGGGGGTGGTCGCGGAATATTGATGGGAAGGCATTTTGGCGGGCACGCAAAATTGCTCAAGTGTTCTTGGCTGTCAGGAGATGAGATGAGAGGAGAGGAAATGAGCCCCGCCTATCGGCACTCAAATTCAAATTGAAACACGCCCAGAAACGACGGGCTGTTGGCGGCACGTGTATCTCTTGAGTGTAATTACATTTGGTAAAAGCGCTCGCGAAGATGATGAAATGTTTGCGGCCCTTGTCGGCATTTTACCAACCTGTCCCCAGACCCAATTGTCCCTGTCCTCAGTACTTGAAATACTTGTGGGCGGTTAAGACGCTTTTCAGCCCCTCGTCCTCGTCCCCGTCACCGTCTACTGGTTTTCAGGTCGATGTCAATGCGCCAGTACGCGCTGAAATTACTTTTCATTATTTATGCCTTATCCGTCGTCCAATAGTTAAAGTCTCTGAGGCTGATCCGCAACGAGGCGATTGCTCAGTTTATTGAGAAAAAAAGTCTCACTTATAGACCCACAAAAATATTTCAGTAATTTTAAATCTCCTGAGTATAGTACCAAAAGTATGCAATAATTAAATTCACTTATGCATTTACAAGTGATCTCAAATAACTGTATTGTTTGTACTTCCCTTTCTGTTTAACTAGAAAAATTTTTTAACGAATTTTTAATGAGTTTACTAGCTTTTTTCGGGAGATAAAAGTATTATTTCTTTAATTTCAGATTACATTATGGCAGTGTTTTTACAAAATACTACTTGTATATAAAACAGAAGCTTAACGTTACTCGATTTCTTTATTTTATTAAAATGATTTGTTTATGATATTTAATCATCATTCGGTAAACAATTCTAATAATAAACAAATGACGTGGATACTGTAATACTAATCTCTCAGTGCAACTTTCGTGCTCATTTGTCCCTTAAGCGGAGACGAGGGAATGTCTGTAACAAAAGACCGAAATGTGCGTAACAAATACTAAGCCTCAACGAATTGCCCCAGTGGCAAATTTAATGCGGCGCGTGCGGGTCTAAACCAAAAATGGGTAGGAGATGTGACAAGGTAAAACCAAGGGAAAAATGACACCCTCCTGGGAAAAAGCTATGAGGAAAGGAAATGTACACATCTTAAAGCACAGAGCAGATTTAAGGCTCAAACGGAGATTGTGCAACAATTTAAGACACGTTTCATCACAGACACCTGTAGCTCTGCCACCTGCGGGTTAGAGGTCAAGTCAATCAAGCAACTTTGATGAGATTTTCCGCTGCGTGACTACAAATTAGCCAATAATTGTTTAACATGACACGCAAAAAAAAAAAAACTAAGAAAAAATAAAACAAAAGAAAGCACACGCACAGTTGTCAGCTGTCAAAGCACGAAAAAAAAACAAAACAAAGGAATCTGCTTATGCCAATGACTTTTCACACGCCACCGGAACGGAAGGGAAATTTGATTTTGTCATTTTGTTTTGGAATTTCTTGGGGCATTGTTGTGGCAGACTGTTGTGACCGGCGGCTACATCACAAAGAGAAGACCCAGCTGAATATTGTCAACTTATCCGACAAGAAATTAGAGTTCAAGGAACTTGTTTTTTGTATTTTACAGGAAGGTGCGCGTCTGCAAAAGGCGTTGCCATTTTGAAGTTTATTTTGTCATGCGTTACACTAAACGCTGCGGGCACTACAATGTCTCTCATTGTTCACATGAGAAGAGCGGCACTCCCTCAGACATCAGAGCAGATATGAGTACACCCTCATACATCAGTGATTTACAAATTTAAATTGCCAGATTTACAAGCGTCTTTTCAATGTTATTCCCAAGGTCTGTAGTTATAAATTTTTTATGTAACGAACAAATGTAATCGTAATTCTGCACAAAAGTATTGGCATTTTTTTCGGTGTGCACGAGAACATATAAATACCAAATTGACTGAGCTTCAACCGACGTGTTTGTCTTTCGTATGTATGCTCGGGAAGCGTTTTAAATTGCACTGGGGCCTCGTTTTTCTAAATGCGTACTGCCATCATGTTTCAGTCAAAGCATTAGCCAAAAGAGTAGTTGAAATATTAATACCCTAAATAATGATATGACTGTTGAACAGCATATATTATTACAAATGCGTGTGAGACCAGGTAATAATAATCTATTTCCTTCAGGGCGTATACTTAATATTTTTGTCAAGGCAGTGCCTTGTATTAAATTTCCCTTTCCTTTATAATTACAGTCACGCCCGTTGCCTTTTGTACGTCTAATCTCCATGGGGAATTCCATTAATTTTTGACCTTATCTCACAACTTTACACGCGCCACACATTTTAAAGACGCCGCGTCCAAACAGAAATCTCATCTATATACACGAATAAAACTTTCCGCAGCATGTGTACTCGATGAATGTTTCTTACATTTGTTGTTTACATGAACTATGTTTGCACAAGAGTTTTGTATATATTGGCTTATATAGTATATAATATATACCCTATACCCTACTTTGTGAAAGGGTATACATTTTAAATATTTAATTTTAATTTACTAATTTAGTAAGAAACAACGAAAAATATATATTAAATTGAATTTGAAAATAGTACAATACATTTCAGAACCGACAAAATAAACATTTTAAAGTTTCTATTAATTCACAATCGTATTACGAAATAAACTTATTAGAGTATTATGTGCCAGGCATTTGAATTTTTGTTTACTTGCTTTTTTTAGAGCAAAATTGATCAGTTGGCCCGTGGGCAAGTCATCAAAGTGCTAATTTCTTTGCTTATCTCAGCACATGTGCCGGAGAGTCAGACGGCAACAGTGACAACAGAAACTAAACAATCTAAAAAGCAGCCAAAAAGGAACAAAATGCGTCATAATAGTGTATAGATACGGTAAGAGTTGGAAAAAAAACGTGTCAAAAGCGGGCTTGTCACTATTTCGGTGGGAAGGGCTGCGGAAATAAAGTAAAAGTATACTTGGTAAAAGCGGTCTAGAAGAGAAAAAAAATTGGCATTCTCAGTAAACAGATGAAGAAATTTCGGTAACCCCATTGAAGCCGCCGAAAGTGGCGATAAAAAATGACGATGGCAAGCAAAGAAAGCAAATAAAAGACGAAATGATAAATGAGGTACAATAAATGAGGTACACGTGTGGAAAATTATGACTTCTCGATAACAGGAACTCAATCAAAAAAACAAGAATCGACTGACATAAAACAACGATTCGGAACCACACCAACATTTTGAGGTACATACAATTAAACAGACTTTGTCTGGCGGCTTCCATTTGCAATAGTGAGGGGCTGGTTTTTATTTTTAAGTAAGGCAAAATTTAGTTTTAAAATTAAAAACAAATTTAAATCTAAAATGTATGGTAAGAATACTGTGATGATCCATCAAACTTTATAAAACATACCGTGTGCCATTAAAAAATATTTGCATTTATATTTCTGACAGAAAAAAAACATTTAGTCTTTTGTTTTCTGTTCCGCTTCTGAGTTCATCGTATATTAATCAACAACCTAATTAGCTAAACGTACGCATGCCTAAAGCATTAAAAAAATTTTGATTGTAAAGACCACAATACGTAAACAGATCCGCAGATGACTTACAACATAAACGTGATTGATACAGGTCGTGCGTCAAAAGGCTGAGATAGTGCTTCAAATTTCAGTTGTCTGCCCGGAATATCTCCGATTTTATTGTTCACCTTTTATTGGTTTCGATTGTGACGGTTAATTGGACCGTGGGTAGAAGAAACAGAGCCCGTTCATTGTATTCTTCGATTTTGCATGAATTTAATGATTTGCGAACATAAATTTTGGCTTTCAAGAGAATTTGAGTGTTTGACATTTTGTCTGCAATATTTCTGTTTGACTCGTTTCATTGGCGCGTTATAAAAATGTTAAGCGAAACAATTACCATTTATTAATGACATTTGCGGCACGAGTTTCTCGATGTGGCAGGCGACAGAGCATATACCTATCGACGCCAAGAAAATATTTATTAAATGCCACGCAAGTCAGCACTTTTATTATTTTAAGAAATATAGGTTTTAACCTCATTTATTAATAACGCATTTATATATTTTCGGTTATTCATTGTTTTTTTTAATATGTCAAGCCCTCGGAATTGTTTATGAAGCAAACTCAATTATAGGTAACCCAAATACAATTAACTGTATTAATAAAAAATAGTTTTTCGCTGATAAGCAATAATCAAGGTTTAATATTTCAATATTAAGGGTAACAAAATAAACCCAATTAATTTCACACTGTTATAATAAACAATGAGTCCCTATGGGTAATTAACCGCAGTGTGAGCCAGATCATAAATTATTCTGCATCCTAAGCCCAAACAAAAAAATGTGTTATCAAATATTCCAAAATCTGTTGGCAATTAATAAAAAGCCATGAGGTAATTTAAAAATATTATCTAACTGGCTAATCAAAACATAACATTTTTTTATTAAAAATTATTCAAACACAATATTAAAGTAGAGGATCCATTTTGTTCTACGAATAAAAATTGCTGGTAGCAAGTTATTCATAAACACGGTAATTTGAAAACAAAAGCATTTCTTTACTTGTTCTTGATAGCTTAAATCACACGAGTAAGATATTAGTTTAAAACAAAAAAGCAATTGAAAATTATTCGCTCGTGGCTTAAAATTGGATTTACGCTATTTTGGCCAATGAGTCAGTCAGAAATCATCTCTTTTTGAAGACTACCGACCGGTGGGACCTCAAGTTGGCATTACAAAGACTAGTCAAAACAGTTCACTGACAGTAGTCGGCCGAGGGGCCAAAAAAAACAAAACAAGGGACATGGCCTCAAGAAACCAGAAGCGACGCGTGTTGTCCAAAACCCCGAACCTTTTTCCCTGCCTTTGTTTAATTTGTGTCTGCCTAGTCTCTGTCTTTACGCTTTGAACGGCAGTGAAATATAATTCGCTAATGTGGTCATAAAACGAGCAAAAAAAAATGTATATAGCGAAACGGGAGAAGGAAAGACAATAGATGCCAGTAACCATTGAGCGCATATTGCTTGTCTCAGCCGCACGTGTGGCTTGTTTATAGGAGGGAAATAAATATAGATATATATCTAGGATGGGGAGGGTCGGTTTAATTTTCCTGAAACATGTATTTCCTCACACAAATAATGGCGCGTGCACTCATTTACTGTTCCATTTATATTTATTAAAGCGTCATGTGTCTCTCCTTATTGGGTCAGCAATTAGCTACATACATGGCCCGGTAACGAACCAAGTGTTTGCCCATTTGCCGGCCAGCGAGTTGGCCAAGTGCAAACAGCTGTTGTAAGGCAGTCCAAGAAGGGGCCACTTTGATTGATAGCTAGCACACCCAAAATAATTTACAATGTTCTGTAATTGAAAATAAAAAATGGCTGCTCTTATTAATCCATTATTAAGACGTCAACATTATTTCAAACTGAAAATAAAACAATTTTTTGTATTCAAAACTTAAATTTCAGCTTGAAAATGTATCATGTAAAAATTAAGTTTAATGATTTTAATTAGCAAAATTGTTGTAAGAATATTTATGTTTAAGTTTAGCTTCAAATTTTATGTCTATTTTACTTGAATGTTGTGAAGCTGAAATTGCTTGAGAAGATATTTTAAAAATTTATATTTTAATTTGTTAAACCTTAAACCCAAGTCACTAACATATATTTTATGATTTAGAATTGTTGTTTCTATGAGCAATAAATCCTTTTCATCACTTTTGCCCGTTAATCCTTGGTGAGTGTTGAATTTACGTTGTTCACGTTGGTAACTGAGCGACAGAAATAATAGAGTTATGTCACCTAGCTACCGGAAATCATGGGAAATTCAATTGTTAACCAAAAAATTAGGTCAACATTGCGTATACGCCATTGGGTAAACTTTTAGTTAATAATAAATTCCAAGGGACTTAGTTAAACTAGGTTGTCTGTTTATATGCATACACCACACATAATCTTTTCTATTAATAAACATAAGGTTCCTACCGGAAACGGTTAAATTATGACAGCGGATTTAAATAAATCTCTATGGATCCCACAGAGGGATCCCCTTAATAAGCCATTAGCCAAATTAATTATACCATAGGAAATTAGGCAATTTTTTATTGTTAGAGCTGCGTCTCGTGTTTCACATTTGGCATTTATGGGGCTCACAGAAGCCGTTAGTATTTTCAGATGTTACTCTTAAAACTGCTTTGGAGGGGGTTAGGGGTATCCACGCACACAAACACAAATCTCCGAACACGTGCGACCAAACACAGACAGATGGCAAGCGACATGACTAAAAGCCAAGCGAAAAAGAGAATTAATTTTGCCTGCATAAATTATCGTCGAAAAAACACAAGCAAAAACAAAGAGACTTTGTCATCCAAGCGCAGTCGGCAGTGAGGGGTAGTCCACTTGGCGATAATTTCATAGACACGAGCACACCGACTAGACAAGGGCACAAACCCTAATGAAAACCATCAACTTGCAATCCACACAGACAAAAATGGGAACACAATAGGAATTTTTCAAATTTTTTAACTTAAATTCCTTGAATTATTGTTTTTATTACTAAAGAATATTAAATAAAATTAACTGAAAATTTATACTGAAGATCTTAACAAAATAATCTTTACCACTAGCTTCATAATGATGAAGGAAAAACTGTAAGTTTATAGTCAATTTATGAAAAATTAAACAAAAACCTTTCATAGCATTCTAAATAAATTAAAATCAAGAACTCAATTTTTAAAAATTTTTCCCAATTACTAATAGCTTTAACCAGGTTTTTGAGCTTGTCTTCGAAATTTTTTTAAACATTTTCTCGCCGTGCACATTGGTTTTTGTGGTGGAGAGAGATAAAAGCCGCTCTCCCGTTAATCTAAAACAAAAGCCACGAGAGAGCCGCACAAAAACAATGGACACATACACAGAACATAAACACACGGAGGAAAGCTCACATGCCGTTAATGAACTTTTATGCTATAGCACTATCTCTGTCCTTCCCACACGCCCAGTGGCCTAGAGAAAACGTTCGAGTGTTTGAGTGTGCTCGTGTTCTTTTTTTTCGCTGCTATTATTTATTATTTTTTTGTGTATATTTTTTTATTGAATTAACGACGCACGTGTTGCGCCGTTCGAGCTGCGCGCGCTCTCTTTTCTTCGCATTTGGGGCCAAAGCTGACGATCCGCATATCAGCTTCGTATACTTTGCCTTTTTTTGCCCCTGCCTGTGTTGTTGTTTGTTTATATTTATATATCGGATGGGTCTCATATTTTGTTCCTATTTTTTTCCAGCTTCGTGTGTTGTTGTAATGCGGAACGCGCGCGTTCGAGCAAAAATGATAAATCTACGATTATGGGCGTTATATGGTGTCAAAAATGGAGCGGACCCCGAACACGCGCAAGAGTTGCCTACCGTAGATATATTTACGGTCTCGGAACCTGTTTAATGTCCACGTTGGTTTATGGTCACTTCCTGTTACCTTAAGGACCGAAATATGTTGCGACACAAGTAGCAATAAACCATAGATGACCATATATACCATTAATTTTAACTAATGGATTACAAAGCAAGGAAACTGTAAAATATTAAACTATTTTAGCTATTAAGGGCTTGTCTTATGTTTGTATAATTTTTTTGTAGTGAGCTTTGTTCCTAATATCGGAATCGGGTTGTTAAATGTAAAAAAATTAAAAATTATTAAAAATTTTAGGATTAAGCTATTATTATCAATACACAAAATGTTACATGAGTTATTAACACAAAATTCTCCTTGAAACGCACCGCTTTATTACTGCATATGTATGCCCAAGTCTTAAACCCATGCTAATCAAATACATTGGTTTAACAATAAGTAAATGAACATTATTAAACAAACAGATGTCAATTGTGAAAGTCACAGCTTGAATAACTTTAGCGGAGCTTGTTTTTAGCACGCCGTAAAAGGCAGCTGGCAAAAAAGGCCCCAACTTCTCAATTCTTTTTATTTAACAAAGACATGTCTATGTTTACTTTGTGTTCATTTTAAGAGTGTTTCACACGCTTAGACTTTCATGTATGGTCAAAGAAATAACAAAAACTATTTTTGTAAGGGAAGGAAGTACTTTAATAACTTAGTTCTTGGAAATCGCCGGAGAAGAAATCAACAAAGTGCTTTTAAAACACATTCATGTTATGGTTTGGTTTTCTTTAGCTTTTCTTCATGTGATTTTAAATAAAATGTAGTACGATTGGAAGCCAAGAGTAAATAAACTATGGCAAAACATTTGTTAAGTCATAAACTTTTTTAGAACTTTATGTTCTTTAGTTTTCCCCAGCGGAATTCGAAAGCATTCTCATAAAATGTACAGACAATTAAAATGTCTCAAACATAGAAAAGAAAGAAATTATTAATTCTTATTTCTGATCTCATAGCAAGGTTTTTTAACAAAGTCTTATCGAATTTAATTTCAAAAATATTATTTTTTCTGTGTTATTTTGCTTTAAATTTGCGGGTAAATAATTTAATAATGGATGACTTACCAGACCAATCTTTTGGTTCTTCTTTTATTATTTTCTTTTAAAATTTGTTTACTTTTTAAAGTTCGAGCCTTAAAAGTCACAGCACAAAAAATCAATATTGCGCATACGCCATGTAACCTCGCTGTAATGCAATTGCAACTGCTGTCAAAGTCGCGGAAAGGCCAAAGGCCATGGAATGAGTCATGTGATAAGGCCCACGACTCCTGACCTAAATTCGTCCTTCAGAAGGTGAGAGGCAGACACGAAAAAACTGTATGTTCTCAGGGGGAAAGAAGGAAAACTCAGGCAGCCTCTCTAGTTGGAAGGAGAGCTTTCAGCATCGGAAGTCGGCTGTCAAGTGCAATTTTCTGTTTTTTTTATTATTGTTATTTCGCGCCGCACGTGTGGCACACAAATGCTAATGCTAATGTCGGGAGATTTATGGCCAACCTTTTTTCGAGCTCCGCCGACTTACCGTGTTTTTGCAGCAACGATGTTGATGTCGTGTTTCTTTAGCTCTAGGTTTCCTTAATTTAATGCACCCTCATTGGGAGTAATGAACATTATCTTTTTTACACGTATTTCTTTTTTATTTGCTTTCACACACTTTTAATCTATTCTGGGTGGGGAACGTGTGTGTTTGCAAATTTACAGACGCCAATGGCAACACGCGCGCCAAACAAAACTTTCGCTTTCGTTGCGCGTGTGGCCGTCGCTCACACACGGCTACACTTTGCTTCTTACACAGACACACACAGTGACACACACGCGCTGACAAACAACAAACACGGATATACGAAATACGCGAATGTGAATCCGACGGCGAAATACGTAAGCGCTCGGGCTCGGTGCGAAATTCAAAGCTCTCGAGTTGCGAACGCCTCGACCGCCCAGAGCAGAATGAACGAGGTCCGACGAACGAGCGACGTTTTAATGGCAGCTCAGCCGGCAGTCGCTGCATACACCCCACAAAAGTGACGAAACACGGTAGGAATATATTTTTAAAATATTTAAAAAACCCGAAAAAAAGCCATTGTCTGTAGCGAGCATTTCTCTGTTCCAAAGTTATAATAAAATATTTAATAAACTAACAGAAAAATAAAAATTATAAGGATACTAATAAATACATTATAAATTAACAGAATAATAATAATAAAAAGTAGAATTTTTTGTATTTGCTTATATTTTTTATTAATATTTTTCTTGAGAGAGTTTTCCTATGACTCTCAACTTAGGTAATTTATTCTGATACTTTAATAATTTTAAAACAAAAATGTAAATGTTTCAAGCGTTCCTTAAAATCACACTTTTTGACAAACTTTTAAAGTACGGTTAAACTGATTAGTCACTAATTGAAAACTTGACTTTTGTACGCAAATTAATCTTCAAAGCACCATCGCTTACTATATCTGCAAATACACCAGCAAAAAAAAATGAGGTCAATCAAAGCTGTCATTTGAACAGCATCCATCAAAATAAAACTATTTATAGGAATAGTCCAAAATTCTTGACACACATTCGTTAAAAAGTCGCCAACGAAACTGAATCAGTGGAAAAATGTTGCCGCAACAATGTTGAGGCACACTGCCAGAAAATAGGGAACCCCAAGGATGGGTTTTTGTGATTGGGTCGGGTTTGTTTTGGTCGTGCCTTTCTGGTTGCCTAAATCCGGGACCTCGGGCCTTTCCCCACCACCAAAACTTTCTCCACCCCAAATGAAAGGCAATTTTGTCGCACGTGTCGGAAATTTTGTTACGGCCGATTGCTTTTGCTTCCTCTCTTTCTGCTCTGCCTGTGTGATTCGATGGGTTGTACTTGCGCTGACGGGTGTCTATATATTTATACAGTCAAAATTCTTAAACCGTAACCCATTGCATAAAAACTTTGTGGGCTAGAGCATTTATTACTTATACTATTTCTAAAGTAATGAGATATGTATTTAAAATACCAAAATATTCTAATCAGATTTCAATACAATAACTTATATTTTTTTTAGATAGAATTGAATATACATTAAAAACATAACATTTTCTTTTTTAATGACATGATGGTAACGCAACAAACTTAATTACCATTTAACTTGTTTGGTTTGACTCGGGAAAGTCCTCTCGAGGTCCTACTGTCGCTGAAAATATATTTTCGCCCGGCCTTTCTCGTCGTTGTCGTTATGAAAAGGCAATTCAATGGCCTTTGGCTTTTCTCGCTGCCTGCGACACTAACGGTAAACGGGGAGCGTTGGCTGATTTCCTGTTTGGTTTTAATCGTCTGCTGCCGACAAAGATGGAAGCAGCGAACAATAAAAGAGAAATTAGCATAACACATGAGACGTCGGATGTTGGAACCTCCCGTTTGAAACCTCATCCCCTGATTTAACCATGTTCTTTATGTGTGATTTTAATTGACTCGTTGGTGTCTGGGCCGTAGCCGCTTTTCTATTTCAATTGCCGACACGTGTACGTCGCCTAAAACAAAATAAACAAGACCATAAAGGCAGCACGCACATGTCTGGCCATTTGCATTTTTACCGCCCACAAATTTTACCACCCGACGACCTTTAATCCGTTGCCAAAGTGTCATTTAATTGCCACAAAGCGAAGGGGCGTGTTCCCGCTTTTGCGTCAACGAAAGAGTTCCATAAACATACTCGTAACATCGGGCTTTCCACCCTAACGAGCCGTCCGTAAAATAAAGTGCGTAATCAAATCTAATGCAAAATTTAGCCTAAAGAGCAAGCTTTTTTCGCGCGTATTCTCGTCTGATTAGCTAGGGACGAAAATAACCTAATGCCAAAATAATCTAAACAACAAAACAACAACAAAACAAGGTCGTATAATCGCCCATTCAAAGTTGAGACTATGCAGTTTTATGTCAGTCAATTTCGGCATGTTCTTATCGCCTTTGTATTTAAGAAAATACTTTTTTAATATTGCAAAAAGATTTTACTTCGTAAAAAACCTATATATTATGAAAATAATTATTCCAAATATCATATTAGAATAGTTCACATACCAAGACATTTTAAATCAAAACCTTAGATTATGCATTTTATTCTAAATTTACCAATGTGGTATAAAAATTATTATCCAAAGATTAAAAAAAATAAATACCTACCCAACGAGTAATATTTCAACTAATATTTCACTTGTGTTTTCATATAGATTACCTAATCGACTCGATTTGCACCTTATCTATTTACGGCGCCAATATAAATTAAAGTTAAAAATAAACCAGATTTATCATTGGAAGCCGCAAATTGAAATTCGAATCTGTGGTTGATAATTGTAACGTTAATACATTTTTTCTGTCAACACATTTTGTTTGGTGTAAGCGATCGTGCTTGCCAAAAATAATACGTTTTGGTTTGGTTTTTGTCTCAGAATTTCTAGGGAACACAATTACTCGGCATAAAATCGGTTATCAATTCGACGCTAAGGGAGATGTTTTATTTTTAGCAGTATCAGAGAATCTTAATCGAGTGTGTGAGCAAGCGTATCCGATGCGGATGTGTGAGTAACAATAACAATAACAGTAACATGCGCCGACCGCTCGACACTCAGTGTAGTGTTTTTTATACTTTTTGTGCCGAGTTTTTTCACAACATGTGTCTGATTTTGTATATACCCTTCAAAGGTACTTCAATTTTAATCGGACGTAAAAAAAATTGTGTTTCAAGATAGTTTGGGTAAAAATAACAAGCAAATTTGGTATTTATACATAGACAGAATTAAAGTTTTTCTGAACTAAAAATGGAATTCTGGTAATGTCTTAAAATCTGAAATATTTATGAACAATATATTATTTTTTTGGGTATTGGTATAATTATTTAAATCGAAGCTACAATATGTTTATTAATTAAAAAATTAAACAAAAATGTTTAGCACCTATTTGAATATATAGGGTATACAAAGTTTAGTTTTTCGAAGCAATCTACTTTCATATTTTTTCCCTCCTTTGTGCCTTTTATAATTATTCTTTCTCCTCCGTACTTTGCTTTTGTTGTTCCCCCACACATGCTCAATGTCAAGGATTCTTTGATATAACCGCGAAAACTTGCCAAAATACGCCAGTGAGTTACTTTGCATATAAATATTTGCATTTAATATGGGCACTGCTCTAAATGCAGAGGGTGAAACGGGAGGAAATAAAAGCCAGCCACGCGCCTCGTTATAGGGAGAATAATGCTGAAAAACACAATGCGTGTGGGCCGAAGCCGATGGCCGCCAGTGGATCAACATACATAAGCACACATATAATACTCGGTGATACCGACAATTTGACAACGTGTTGGCAACAAAACTGCTTACAAAAGATTATATATTTTCATTCATACTTTAGTCGAAAAAACTATTGACAGTAAAGACTAACAGTTTATTCAATAGTGGCGGTACTCTATAATTTTTTTAATGTTGAATTTATACAATTACGTGTTAAGCTGAAAATGCGTCAGAGCTAGCTATAAATATAATCTTTTTAACAGCTTTATAATATAGATCTTGTTAAACGACGCATACGTTTTTTATCGTGCATATGTATTTATATATCATTTTTTATATGATTTATACACTACAAATTGCTTAGCAACATACAAATTGCTTGTCAATTAAATTTAAGACGAAATTTAAGCGATAAAATATTGATAAATTGTAGATTTGCCAGACTTATTGATTTAAGAGATAAAATTATTTGGTTTTAAAGTGCGCGGGCTCAAGCAGTTCGCAAGCAGTTCAGCTTACTTAAAGTATGAAGGAAAGCAGTTCGTACTCATATTTTCGTCAAGAGCTTTTGGCCAGAAAGCTAACACTGGTAACACTGCCTTATTTTACTGTAAGCCGTTTCAGACAGAAATTTGAATTAAAACATATATATTTTCCATAGCTAGACAATTCCAAAATGACTTACTGAAAAATGGATTTAAAAATCAATGTTTTTTTTTTTCAATTTGTTTTATCTTCGCGTGCGTTATATATAATATTTTTATTTAAATATTTTTTGCCTAAATGCCCTATCTATGAAATGTATAAATCAACAAATAATTAAAAAAAATAATAAGAGAGATATAAGAAGATAATATATAAAAGGAAAGAAATAAAATGGCAATTAAAATTTTGTATCTTAAAAAATTATTCAGAATACGCAAGACTAAGCCAAGTACATTGTATAAGAACCTTGTTAAATTCTAATTATCAAAACAATATAACCACATGATTGCCGTTTGCCGCCGGCCTGTATAAAAGTCAATTGCTAAATTAAAACATTTCAATAAGTAATACTAACAACATGAAGTCCGAGACCAGCTGAAGTCATTAAACTGGCCCTTCGCCTTGGCTAAAAGCGGGTATCCAACCGCGTCTGAACACCCAACAAACATCAATTTCGCCGCCAGCGAATATCGAAGGAGGGCGGGATCCGAAAAGGAAGGAGATCCCAGACAACAACAATGTGAAAAACTAATCAAAGCAGAACTCATTAAGCATAGTAAAAAATTATGCTATTGTAATAAAATGGTTAAGGCGAAGCCGAAATCGCCCTGGCAATCGAATTAAACGGCCGATGGCCAAAAGGCAAACAAATTGCCGGGAAATCCCCGCCCTGCGCATCGGGTTGCAAGTTAGTTTTCATCGATAGCGAATTTATTATGCAAAGCAGAAGCGGTGAAAGATCAAAGCGCAGCGATAGCAGATAACACGCTTCGCAGGCCGCTCGCCAGCCTCTTAGTACAGTAAGAAAAACTAAAAGCCTATTATTCTTAAGTAAATTGAACTACGTATTAAACAACAATTTTTATAAGGCCGATCGAAATTCTAAATCATTTTTTGCACATCGTGTTATGTTATAGAATTAAATCAGTCTTTAAAAATAACAAAATCTGTTAGTTTTTATATTATT